TGTATGTATGTATGTATGTATGTATGTATGTATGTATGTATGTATGTATGTATGTATGTATGTATGTATGTATGTATGTATGTATGTATGTATGTATGTATGTATGTATATATTGTCCATAGACTAGTAAGCACATGTAACCGCATAACATTAATTTCAATTCTTTCTCCTCATAATCATCATCCATCTATCTTTGTTTCTTTCTATCTATATCCATTTTCTCCTCTCTCTCTCTCTCTCTCTCTCTCTCTCTCTCTCTCTCTCTCTATCTCTTTCTCTCTCTCTCTAAATATAATACCACTACTTACTACTAACTACAACTACTACTACTAATACTGCTAAAAACAATAATAATATAAATATTAATATAAATAATGATAATAATTTAAATAATAATATAAATAATATAAATTATAATAATAATATGATTTTTCAGAAGACCGTAAAGAATGCCACAGTTGACAGGCTAACTGATGCTTCTAAATTTACAGGTATGTGAGTTTATTCTTCTTCTTTTTCTTCTTCTTCTTATTATTAGTAATAGTAGTAGCAGTAGTAGTAGAAGTAGTAGTAGTTGATGTTGTTTTTGTTGTAATGTTGTTATTGTTATTAATTTTATTATCATATTATCATTATTAATAGAAGAATGGTTGTCGTGGCTTTTGGCATTCTATAATTACTATTATTATTATTATTATTGTTTTTGTTAATGTTATTTATGATCTTTTTTAATAAACAGGAAGTCACAAAGAGAGATTTGACGATGAAGGTAAGGGTAAGGGACTTGCCGGAAGGAAAGAGGTCGTCGACGAATCCGGTTACGTCACTGGCTACAAAGAAAAAGGTCTTCTTTTAATCTTTCTTATCGAAATAACATCATTTTAATTTTAAATTAAAAAAAAATTAGATATCTAATTACTAATTTTAACTAAAATTAAGCGTTGATGCAGTAGATAACATGGCTGGCCTGACCTGGCCTGGCCTGGCCTGGCCTGGCCTGGCCTGGCCTGGCCTGGCCTGGCCTGGCCTGGCCTGGCCTGGCCTGGCTTGTTGTGTGTATGACCCTTTTTTCTAAAGAGCTAAAAAATGATTTTCTAAAATGACGTTTCGTTTAAAAAGGAACCTACGAGAAGAAAGTGGATGGCGAAGCGAAATAGACAGAAATGATATAGCGCATAACAATTCCAAGAAAATTTAAAAAAAAAATATTTGTCGATGTCGTTTTACTCGTTGTCAACTAACTGTCAATTTTAATTGATTTGATTTTCCAACACAGACTATTTCTATTCTATTTCAAACAAAATAAATTTATAAATTAATAAAAAATTAATATAAATAATTGTGACGTAATTATGACGTAATTATGAAATAATAATTAAGCAATATATATATATATATATATATATATATATATATAGGCTATATGCAATGAACACCTTATATAATTCCAGCTAGTCAAATACTATATCATTATGACAAGACATAAATATATAAATAATATTCAGTCACAGACACGCCCTCACACACACACACACACACACACACACACACACACACACACACACACACACATATACATATATATATTGTCAAGGAATATCACAGCATTCATTTTCGGCATTGACTTTTTGAAGCATTGAAGTTACAGGCTATAGTGGCATCGTCAGTCCGTGATGTGTGACTCATGAAGTTAAGATTAAGACTGTCGTTGTACAATTGTTGAGAAAGATCACTGAATTTTTAGTCTGCCTTTATAATACCATATGTCACACACACACACACACACACACATAAAAAACACACACACATAAAAAACACACACGTAAAACACACACACACACACATATATATATATATATATATATATGTAAACATAATTTTTATTGTTTTTTAATTTCTTGTTTACTAGTGTTGTAGTGTAACTGTTAGATTTAGAAAGCTGCGAAAATATATGACAGTTCTAAAAAACACACATACACAGACACTCTAACTCCTACACGCACACACACACGTAAGTTTTGTACAATTATTTATCTATGTTATATACTATTCAAGATATTATTCACGCACGTACACACAAACACACACACACACACACACACACATATATATATATATATATATATATATACACTCATACATTTGATATTATTTATACAACTATAGGCTCATAAATATGCAAGAATCTATAAAGGACCTTATTTTATGACAGCAATTCTAACTACTACCAAACTCAAGAACCTTTCAGTGCTTTAAATAACTATAATTACAAGCTATGCCGTATATATGTATGCTTAACTATTATTATGTTACACACGCACACACACACACGTGCGCGCGCACACACACACACGTGCGCGCGCACACACACGTTCAAACCATTTGTTGTAAAACAGTGACTTGGTAAATTTAGTTTAAGATTTGTCTCCGCTGTGTTAAAGATTTAAATAAATGGATGATAGTGTGTATGTGTGTGTAATGTAACATGTAAAACACAGACACACCAAACACACACACACATACCCACACATACATACAGACACACAAACACACACATTTCATTTTTTTCGCGTTATTATATCATCTGTTAACCTCTGTTCATCTATCAGTTTCATTCTTATCATTCGGATGATAATATGTGTGATCTTATTTTAAATAAAACAAAGTAAAACCATTTCTTTGCGTTGTTCATCTAGTCCACATAAAATATTATTTAAAGATAATTTGAAAAAATAAGCAAATAGAAAATGAAACAGTAAAATTAAAGGTCATTAAGGCCAGCCAAAAAAATTACCTTAATTAATATAAGGGGTGGCGATAAAGCCACGAGTTCCTGAATTTTAACACAACACCATCTGCATCGAGTTACTGATCACACAAGAAATCCAAAAATCTATAGCACTAGATTTTCCAGTTAAATTTGATCACTCCCAAGAGGTTTTGAAATCTGAGGCTTAATTTGAAGGAAGCCATTCTGTCGGGAGTAACCAAACACAAGAACCTAACCAAAACGGCCTATAAAAACCTACCCAAAATCAAAAAGGCTGTGATTAACGTGTGCACAATTGAAATCATGTATTTTATTTCTACTATAAATTAATTACGTCATGTTACATTATGTTAAGTACATGTATCATATTTGTATGCGTGAGTGTATGATTTGCAAATGTACAATTTGGTAAGTGAATGGATTATTGCTCAAGTAGTGCTTTTAATGAAATACTGAACTCAAGCGATGTCTTGTCACGATGTATTTTATTCGAAATTGTAACATTGTAACTTGAATGCGAAACAGAGGATCAGATTCGGGCAAATACGTTGGCGAGTCTCTAGCAAACACACACACACACACACACACACACACACACACACACACACACACACGCACGCACACACATCAGTTGATATATTCGCGAAGACAGACGAAGGCAATGTATTTTACAACAAAAGCAGACATAGCGGTCAATAGTTAACTTTTATTCGTTCAATTTTAAACACAATAAAAGTGTGAATAACATTTAAAAAAATAATAAAATTCAATAAGTGACAAATTTAGTAATGGATGATGATGGTACAGGAATAAATAGACCAATATTAATAATAATAAAGGTAAGAGATAATTTTCAGAGAATTCCAAATTTTACAATAAACTATCATCATCATCATCATCGTCGTCGTTGAATCAATATCACTACTACCATCACAGTTTTCTTCTTCTTCTTCTTCATCATCGTCACCATCAAACTACAAAAACGCTTCAAAATGATTTTTTAAAAATATATACTCACAAATATATTGATTACATACACACATCCATATACAAAAATAAATATATCTAACCAACCAACCAACCAACCGACCGACCGACCGACCGACCAACCAACCAACCAACCAACCGACCAACCAACCTACCACACCAATCATTCAAATCGCAAAATAATAATAATTTCAGAAAATCCATAGAACAAAAAAACTGCAAGAAATATTTATATTTCCGCTTTTAAAACATCTATCTGAATTTACTTGTCCAAAATATAATAATAATAATTATTATTATTATAAACGAATTAATGCAACGAACGAACGAACGAAAATAAAATCACAAACTGAATGAACAAAGAATGTAAGAATACGCATGATGCACGCGTCATCAAGCCGATATCATAATCAATAGGAAATTTAATTATAAATGACTACGTCTGTAACTACACAAACATAGACAGACAGACAGACAGACAAGAAAGACACACACAAACACACACACTCTAATGTAATATTATCAGTAGTTGATTATACTTCACTATGCGCGTTTCTTAAAACCATTTAGTTAAAAATTATTAACCAGTATAATAATAATATAATAAATAATATGGTACACGTATATATATATATATATATATAAATACAATATGGTGTTCACGTTCAATAAAATAATTGTTTTTTTTATAGGATAATTAATTGATTGAACTAATTATTTGATCGATCGATCAATCATTCAACCAATCAAATCAATCAATCATTCATTCATTCATCAATCAACCAATCCAATCGATCAATGTTTCTTCATTCTATCATAGCGGTGGATTCGTCACCAGAGAAACTTGAGAGGCTGAAAGTGTAATTCGAAAAATTTAAAAATTAATTAATTAATCAGATAATTAATTATTATTTAATGAGATTAATATTAATCAAAACAAATACACGCTCACACAGACACATACCAACAGAAAAAACACACCCACCCAAACACACAGAAACACGCACACTGGGATATAAAATCAGACAAATTTTTCTTAATCTACGCTTAGTGACACATTGATATTGATACATAATACCAAATTATAACAAACACGTACACCCATACACACAAACACACACACACACAAACACACACATACACACGCACCTCTTAATCTATGCCTCCTTCTCCTCCTATCAATTCCAGTCAGTTCGGATTTCAGTTCCATGTAGACGGATTTCAGCTGGTCGATCCTCTTCATTATGAATTCTATCCTGTCTTCCCCATCCAGGCATTTTCCTTCCTCTGTGTGCATGTACGTGTGTGTGTGTGTGTTTATGCGTTTGTTTGTATGTGAAGTTATGTGTGGAAATGTGTATGTCTGCGGTTATGTTTGCAACATGTTTGCGTAGTTGGTCAAGCGCGCAAGAAGAAGATAAGATAGAAAGAATACAACAAAACAGGATAGATCCGGATACATGCAACAAAACAGGATAGAACGGATTAGGATAGAAGAGAATAAAATGGGATAAGATAGAAAGAACATATCAGGATACAGGAATGGGTATAGAACAAAAAAAAAATAGGATAACTACTAACCTAGATCCAAGAAATTTAGATCCTTGTATTTAATGTGAGGCAGCTGACTGTTTTGGTGGTGGTGATGATGATTGTGGGCATTATTATTATTATTGTTATTATTATTATTATTACTATTATTACCAACGATACTGCAAAAGTTATTATTATTATTGTTGTTGCTGTTGTTGTTGCTGTTGTTGTTGCTATTGCTATCATCATTATTGTTTTGAGTTGCTAACTGGTGATGGGGACGATGATGATGAGGACGATGATGATGATGATGATGATGACGCTGGTGATGATGGTGATGGCTGGCAGATGAGTGAGAGTCGATGTCACTGTCTGATGCTGTTTAGGAGGGAAACGAATATAGTATTAATTATTAATAATAAATAATATTATGAATAACTATTAGTGATAAATAATATTATCATTAATATAATCATAATTATAATAATAACTATTATTATTATTAATTGCTTATCAAAAAATCGAAGAAAAATATACACGTGAGGGTAAAGACAAA